GGTGCCAATTAATAAAGATTCCTGGAAGAGTCTGATGGTCTCTAGTCACGTGATAATCTATAGCTGATTTCGTGCTAGTTATTAACTGAAGCGTTCTTGTCAATTCTCGTTTTTTTCAGAAAATAATCAACAGGAAAATAGGATTTAAAACTCATTTTCATTGCGTTAGCCCCAAAAGGCACAGAACAGGAGGGTGTAAAACTCCATGTAAAATTTCACCAGTCCAATAAAGTACAGAATAGTATTCAAATTCCATGCTAATAACTAATTATTAATTTATTCTTTTCTCAACATAATGTAAATCCAAGAGAATACATGTTTTCGAATGAATGATGTAGAAATGAAAGATGTTGAAATGCAAATTTCGCAACATGAGAAATACACATAGTAAGCCAACCTAGAGCAGGTAAAGATCCTGGTACTAGTAATATATATAGTTATTGACCAACAATCAATGGTGATCAAAGAAATCTGTGTAAATTATTCAGAAGATAGAACCGGAGATTAAAGTTCACCTGATATCAGTTAGAAATAGATACACAGTTTGATGAGAGGGGCGGGGAGGGGGTGTGTGTTTCGGGAGAGAGAAGGAAACGGGGGTGGGTGGTGGTAGGTCGTGGTTCGAAACTGTAGCTAATTGGGACAGCCCCAAAACATTGAAACATTGTTGATAGTCTTGATGACTTTGCGCTATGGAATCAGAACCAACGGCACTTTTCTGGTGCATTCTGACACATATTTTGGGGCGAAAACGTATCAAAATCATCTTTTCAAGTGGGGGTACAATTGGGGGTGCAAACCATTTCTCCCCTCCCTGTACCACCACAGGCGCCGCCAATAAAACCCAGGGCACCAGGTTGCGTTGGAAATCGAACTCACAGCACCAAAAATCTTCAAATCTATTGGCACTTGAACATGTATAAACCATGAATCATAAATGCATGCAAGTCAAATAACTGATATCGGAGATTCGAACCGCATAATGAAACCCAAAATCCAAAATAACATGGCAATACATCGATAGCAGCTAATGAACTGTATGAAGACGTATTTCATAATGAAAACTGGTATTAGGTGCCTAACAGAGTAAGCATACCCTGCCTGGCGCCATACCCGCCATTGCTTCTCAATATTACATGCAAAAATCGAAAGCTAATAACAAAAATGTTTATAAAGTGTTATATAAAATGACCTCCTAGCTCCAAAAATCTTCAAAAACTGTTGGCACTTAAACATGTCGATTTAAACCATTAATGTACTTATAAATAATAAATAGAGGTATTGTCAACTAACAGAGTTGCTTTCTGTCATTCGAGCTTCTTTCTATACACTACTAAAAACAAAACCTTTCAACCGGTTTGTAGCTGTATTTCCCTTCCCTCTTAATGGCAGCTCATCAATATTTCAAATTCATCCACTTTACCTGAATACTCAATCTAGATATTCCCTTGATTTTTATCTTTTTTCACGTCTAAATAACTTTCACTCTTGTTACACCTGTGTGATATCGCCCTGGAATGGATGGTTAAGTAGACACTGGAGACTAAGGGATATTACTGAATTTACCAGTGTAATGTATCGTATAGGTCTCCCTTGTATTCAACTCAATATAATATAGTTTTTATCGCATCCGAATAATTGTTGACGTGGTTTTTTTGAAAGTTTCTAGATTACACGTATTTTGGAAATTTTAATTTAGATTTTTATGTATTATAAGGTGTTTTAATGCCAAGCCTTTGATCTTTCAGTTTCATTTAAGTAATTACACCTGATTTAAGAGCACCTTAGTTCGAATTGTAATACATTGTCGTTATACAGATAATTGTGTATTCAAAATGGATAAAATATTAAAAAGTTTTATGTGATATTTGTAATGCCGTTTAAATATCCTTTTGTACCTTGTTGGACTAAAATGAAATAGATTATAATGTCCTTTTGCTCTATACCTTATTGATATACCCAATGAAACGAAATTTAGTTTAATATCATTGTGTTCCTTATTGGACTAATAAAATTGAATAGCTTATTATGTTGATTATTGTTCTGTATCCAGTAAAATGAAATCGGATTTTATTTTCTACTGTGTCTTATTGGACAAATGAATTTATATGGTGTTTAATATCACACTGTACCCTTTCTTATTCAGCTAAAGAAATGAAATGGAGTTTTATATCCAACCTGTTGTGTATTTTATTGAACAATTGAAATGAAATAATGATTATATCCTATTGTTCTGTACCTTATCTGACTAATGTAATAAATTAGAGTTTTATATCCTACTGTTCTATATCTTATTGAACTAATGAAATGAAATAGAGTTTTATATCCTACTGTTCTGTATCTTATTGGACTAATGAAATGAAATAGAGTTTTATATCCTACTGTTCTGTATCTTATTGATCTAATGATGAAATAGAGTTTTATATCCTACTGTTCTGTACCTTATTGAACTAATGAAATGAAATAGAGTTTTATATCCTACTGTTCTGTATCTTATTGGACTAATGAAATGAAATAGAGTTTTATATCCTACTGTTCTGTATCTTATTGATCTAATGATGAAATAGAGTTTTATATCCTACTGTTCTGTATCTTATTGGACTAATGAAATGAAATAGAGTTTTATATCCTACTGTTCTGTATCTTATTGGACTAATGAAATGAAATAGAGTTTTATATCCTACTGTTCTGTATCTTATTGGACTAATGAAATGAAATAGAGTTTTATATCCTACTGTTCTGTATCTTATTGGACTAATGAAATAAAATAGAGTTTTATATCCTACTGTTCTGTATCTTATCTGACTAATGTAATAAATTAGAGTTTTATATCTTACTGTTCTGTATCTTATTGGACTAATGAAATGAAATGTAGTTTTATATCCTACTGTTCTGTATCTTATTGGACTAATGAAATGAAATGTAGTTTTATATCCTACTGTTCTGTATCTTATTAGACTAATGAAATGAAATGGAGTTTTATATGCTACTGTTCTGTATCTTATTGGACTAATGAAATAAAATAGAGTTTTATATCCTACTGTTCTGTATCTTATTGGACTAATGAAATGAAATACAGTTTTATATCCTACTGTTCTGTATCTTATCTGACTAATGTAATAAATTAGAGTTTTATATCCTACTGTTCTGTATCTTATCTGACTAATGTAATAAATTAGAGTTTTATATCTTACTGTTCTGTATCTTATTGGACTAATGAAATGAAATGGAGTTTTATATCCTACTGTTCTGTATCTTATGGACTAATGAAATGAAATAGAGTTTTATATCCTACTGTTCTGTATCTTATCTGACTAATGTAATAAATTAGAGTTTTATATCTTACTGTTCTGTATCTTATTGGACTAATGAAATGAAATGGAGTTTTATATCCTACTGTTCTGTATCTTATTGGACTAATGAAATGAAATAGAGTTTTATATCCTACTGTTCTGTATCTTATTGAACTAATGAAATGAAATGTAGTTTTATATCCTACTGTTCTGTATCTTTATATTCGACTAATGAAATGAAATTGAATGTTCTGTTTCTATCAAGAATATTAACAAATATCGACAAAAGTACATATTTTCTTACTTGCTACGACCAAAGAAAATTTCAAAAATAATACAAAAATATAGATCAATTATCGTGTCGTTTTATGTAGAATTTTTAATCAGATCTGATGAATTCAATAGGTAAAAACAAAGAAAAACATTTTTGAAAAAAAAAACAGAACTTTGATGCTATATCCTGGGCAGAACTCTGAGGGTTTTTTTTACAGAGTTCGACCGAGCGTAGAATAAACAAGGTCTATAATACAATACGATCAAATATTTATAACCAGTAAAAATAATATAGTTTCTGTCTACTGAACACCTATACACCGTAAAGTGTAATTTTCATTTTCAGTTTTAGCTGCAATGTTCCAGTATTCCCAGGAAGAATGGTGCCTGATATCTGAACAAGATTATTGTGTTCATTGTATTCCTTCTAAGTCTTATACCTTGACTGTAAAAGTCACCTTTCCATCACGGAATGCAGCCAGAGAATACAGACAATCAGAGCCACGACAGAAACATTATGGCTTTGTGTTCACAGAGTTTCTGTCAAGGCCTCTGATTGTCTATATTCGCTTAGCGAGTCCAATTAAATCGCTTCATTTACGAACTTCCATGATACAAGAAAGGTTGCTTTTGCAGTCAATGTATAAGACGCAGTTCGAATAGCTTGCGAGAGATAAATAGCATTCTGGGTAATGAAATGGATTGTAAAGAGGTTTTCTGAACTTTTATATGTATCAGGGACACTGATAGCATCAATTTGCACCATTCCAATTTTTAATCAGACGTAATTCCACTAAAATAAGGTTTTGACGTTATTCTAATTATTGAAGCATGATATTGATGCACGTCTGACTGAAAGTTGAAATGGTTCAGATGACCCTGATATATGCAAAAGTTCGTAAAACTTCGTTACAATTCCTTTAAGACGGGAAAGGAATCATAAAGCCGGTTGGTTTTAACTTTTTATTCAGTCAAAGCAAGGCAACATATATTGCAAAATAAGTATATAATTATATCATAATATTTATCATTAACTTATCCCGAATGTTCTGTCCGGCATTGTGTCTCTTTGCTCTGTTTTGACATCACCAATAGCACCATTTGTCCAAATTTGTGTACAAGGACATCTTCACAATGCCAAGCCTTGACTGCAATAGTCACTATTTTCGTGGAAAGAAAGGTAGTTATTGCAGTCAAGGTAATAGACGCAGTTCTTAATAGCTTGACATTGTGAAGATGTCCTTATACACAAATCGAATATTTTCAAACACAGACCATTCGGTTGTAAAGGACTAAAACCTGAAAATACAAAGACAACATATTTTTTTGGTCATTGATTTTAGCTAAAGTCCTAGAGTACTTAGGAGTTTTATTTCATGTAAATAAAATACTTTTTAAATATAATTTGAGAATATCGATCAGAAAGCACACTAATTAGAAATTTAAATAAGAAAAGTGTAAATCAATCAAAATTGTTACCTTATCATAAATTAACAGCAAATGAAATTTTACCTCACTATAAATGAAAAGTAAATGCAATTTTACCTCATAATAAATTAACAGCAAATGAAATTTTACCTCATAATGAATTAACAGCAAATGAAATTTTACCTCATAATAAATTGACAGCAAATGCAATTTTACCTCATAATAAATTAACAGTAAATGAAATTTAACCTCATAATAAATTAACAGTAAATGAAATTTTACCCCATGATATATTAACAGCAAATGCAATTTAACCTCATAATAAATTAACAGCAAATGCAATTTTACCTCATAATAAATTAACAGTAAATGCAATTTTACCTCATAATAAATTAACAGTAAATGCAATTTTACCTCATAATAAATTAACAGCAAGTGCAATTTTACCTCATAATAAATTAACAGTAAATGTAATTTTACCTCCTAATAAATTAACAGCAAATCCAATTTTACCTCATAATAAATTTACAGCAAATGAAATTTTACCTCATAATAAATTGACAGTAAAAGAAATTTAACCTCATAATAAATTGACAGTAAAAGAAATTTAACCTCATAATAAATTAACAGCGAATGCAATTTTACCTCATAATAAATTAACAGTAAATGCAATTT